TTTATTTTATATTTTCACTTACGTTTTATTATAATTAGCTCAATGTGTTTTCAGGAATAGCTGAAGTAATAGCAAAAGCTCATTTTACGTTAACGGGACCTTAAGGAATTTATAAATATTACATATACATTAACAATCATCTATAAAATTGATTTTTCGTGCAAAGATAAACCAAAATTATGGAGTAAGTTATTTGTTTGAGAAAGTCCAACTTGAAAATTGTTCCAGCTCACGTGGTTTCATTACTCGCTGTAATGTGTCTGCCCGTTGCTCCCTATTTCTACTTGCTACAAACAGTGATAATTGCACGGAATTATTTACTCTTCATTGATCTTAATGTTCTGTGACTACCAGTGTGTATCAACGTATTGTTGGATACCAAAGATACCATATCATTGTTAAAGTTTTTAAATAGTAACATAACTAAGTAACTAGTTGTGACCAAACAGTTAAATGATGCTCAAGTACGTGCGTACTAGTCTATGAATTTTAGTTTCTCGAAAATTAAACTGTGTACAAAAAAATTCAACGTACATTCTAGGTATATTTTTGCATGACATATTAACTTATAAACATATCAACAGTCTCTGTATCTTATTCTGATGACAAAGTTATTTTTCAATAAAGCTAATCAAGATATATGTTGTAAATTGAGTCGAAGAAATAAGCATAGGTACTAATATTCTTAGTTTAAGAAACCAGTTAAGTCAACCAGTCAACATGTTAAATTATCCAAAATACCGATATTGAATTTATTAAATTGAAATATCTAGGCTTATTTATAGCTTTAACAGTAAGCATCTGAAATTTTCATACATTAATTACAGTTAGATAACATCATCGAGACTCTACTCATAATGAAACTGCAATTTGAAATATTCTGTTCAACTTCGTACTGAATACTGTACATTTCCATTCAGTATTCTTTATTAAGGCAACTAATTAGGCTTTTTATCTCTTATCATTGTATGTTGATCTCGATTCATACATTTTCGGATAGTTACCCACATGGACCTAACTAAAATAGTTTATATTATCTTGGCGCCTATTCACCATTGACGCTTATTAAAGGGGTTACGTTAATTTAGGCTTTCTCTAGCCAGAATGTAGAGTAGAGCTATGTTTATCGTATCTATGACGGCATTTTATTCTGACTTGCACTTCCATACATATGTATGTTACATTATTAAATTCTCAAGCATGTAATTTATTAATGACCAAGTATTATACATCATGTGTAATTATTGGAATCGTCACTAACAACATCTACATCAGCAGTTAATGTGGCAAAATGAATAAATAAAAGAAATTTGTAAGCATCTGTAACAACACTTTTTTTGTAAGAAAAATAAAACGAAAATCAATCGATCATCACGTGTCACATTATTCCATTATTATTATCTTTATCTTGTTTCAATAGATTTACACGTGTGTATTACACACTTATAACGACGTTCACCATGGCTCTGAAGTAAGTTCACTATACAATTTAATTTAGTATAATTCAATGCTGGTAGTTCTAGTGTTAAATATTGAATATTAGCAGTTATACTTCATTTTACTTCTTTAGTAGTTACATTCTAATCCAGGAATGTCCAAACCACCTCACAAGAATCATTACCAGATATGGTACTAGGTCTACTAATAAGTAATTCACTATTTTCGTTCAGTAAATTGATGATATAATATTAATCGAAAATACCATACGGTGATAGACATCGGGGACATATGTCACTGAAACGAGACTAGTTTCCTATCTCTTTAAAAGCAAATATTAAATTTATTGTTAGTAAACAATAGTGAATTATTTATTCCGTCGAAATAAATAATTACTGAATATACCAAATGTTGTTTAATATGGTATAGATTAAATATTGATTTAGGCTAGCCATTGAACAAACCACGTTTGTTATAAAATTAATGTTAGTATCTTTCTCGATAATGATGCATTTGCAAGAAAGCCTCCATGACCGGTTAAAGCTGTCGCGGAACCTACGGCCAATAAGTAAACGTATTAAACGTTGTCAGAAAACGCCGCTCTATATCAAGAGTTTCGATTGCAGAAACGTTTGCCGATTACATATATATATATATATATATATATATATATATATATATGTATGTATGTATATATGTATATTCACACATACGAAGCGAGTAGATCGTGTGTTAATACGAGAAGGGCTGAGCCGGTACAACTAATTTCAGCGTGGCCATTGTTCTTGCATTGCGGTTGTCATTCTCGAGGCTATATCTGTTCCATTTGACGTATATTTCTCTGTATTGTTTGTTAATTCTCAGTAAAAGATTGCATCTTTTAATTTCAATGAGTCCTCGCACACAAGACGCCGTTAATCGAATCGAAATTCAAGGCGTTTTTAACACCCCTTTTGGAGTGATCCACAGTGTTTCTAAAAATTTTGAGCATTGTTCACTTAGAGGTAATTTCGTTTGTCTTGCGATTTGTTAAGGATAATGTTTATGTTGGTTCTAATGTACCACATATTGTGGTATAATGTAAAAAGTTGGTTTTCATTTCGTTAATTTCAACTTTTCACTATTAATTCTGAAGCAGTTGGGACGCACATACTTTCAAATTAATTCCTCTGATTTATATTTTTACAATCTATAAATGAATTATAAAATGACATTTTGTACGCAACGACATAGTCGAAGGAGAAAGATAATATAAGCCATATACTTATTATTTCATAGAAATATTGTTATATAGATACAAAATGACAATATTGTTTAAAATATACTGTCTTACTAGAATTAGTGTTATATCGAACTGAATACATCGAACATAAACACTATCATTTAGCACGATAACTGCTGAATCAATATATCCAGAATTGTGTTTTTCTATCAGAATGGCAATCTACAAGTGTATGTAATGATTGTTTAGACACAAATAATTCGAAAGTTTGCAGTAAAGTGTCTTGTATGAAGCTTCATTTAAGAAAAAATTAAATATTAAAGTTTCTCGGGCACACGTAGTTTGGAGTGTGGGTGGCAATGCGTTTGACCATCACCGACTATTTCTACTTATAACGAATACAACCAGTGGTACGTTTCTATCTTTCCTCAAAAATCTTCTCATCTTCTAATTTTAAAATTCCATCACATTATTCTAGAAAACTAACAGCAGATCACTATTAATGCTTATACATTTTATTTCATGTAGTAATGAATAAACAAACAGACAAACTAGTATTCAAGTGCACGTGTACCAGACGTATGTCCAAACTTAATTCTCTCGAAAACTAACATTCATACGGAAAATTTTATCCTACACCTTCTATTCATCTTTACATTCAGAATCATCCCTTGTTCGCTAACACTATCCTTCCCGCCCCACCCATTCTAACAAACAATAAATTCCATCCTTTTCAAACTTCATAAAAATCACTGAATTTTCTTCAAACTGCTTATTTTACTTTCGCGTTGTCATTTGCTCCTGTCTGATAACAATCGATACATTAACGCTCCCATTCCTCTCTCCAGCAGCGAAAACCGCGGTATCGAACACGACACTCGCCACAATCGCGGAAAAACATATGTACTAAACACCTCGGCATCGAAGGTAAGAGACGTGTGAACTGTAATTAGAGGAACCCGTAGAAGATCCAGCCTGACAATAATCACGCGACAACTGAATTTTTCAACGTGACGTGTAAATACGTCCAGGCCGTTGGAAGGCGCGACACGACGCCTTCTCGTCGTCGTCTTCGAGTCACGAGGCGGGTTGGGTGGTGGTGATTGTAGAGAGGGGGGGGGGGGGGATTAGCGTCATTGTGATCATTGAAAGAACTTGCGTGTCCGCACGGTGTGTGCTTTACGTCTGGACATGCAACCGTAGCCTCCTGCATGTTTCCGCACAGTGACATGCAATCACGAATGTGCATCCAGACAGCAGCGAAGAATGTACACCCTCACGCGGCCCCCGGGGCGGCATTGTCGGCGTTGCCATGTCGAAGATAGATGATTTCTCGTCGCGGTCGTACGTAGCCGACGCCGACACCGCTGCCGCACGTGAGAACACCCGACCCTCGAAGAGCACCACACGACCCGGGGTATCAGACCAGGTCTAACGCGGTTGGAGGCGCGTGACCACGAGAGCGCGGCTGAGTTTCTCTCGCCTTTTTCCGCGTACATCGCCGCCCATTAAAACCGTTTATCGATCAATTTCGTCTCCCCTGCTCCGACACCGACCGTATGGACCAACTCGGCCCCGCTAGCGTACGTGTAATCGAGATATAGGATCATGGACCATTAATTAAATCCGTGTGCCCCGAACCACCACCTTCACTCCCCCCCCCCCCCCGCGTAGAATCAGCTGCGTCTATTGATTTACACCGCGGGATTTTAACCGCATTAGACCTCGCTGATTAAGCGAGGAACCCGCCACCCTCCCCCTGTGGTATCATCCAGCACCATCAAGGGGTCACGAAATAAACTGGAGAATTCTTCCGGGCGGGTGTTCGGGGTCGGTGGTCTAATGTACGCGTGCTTATGTCCATTGCGGGTATCAACTTCAGGCGATTCGGAAGGCCGGAAAGTTCAAAGTGGCCTTCGGACACGAGGTAAGGTCTTGCGGTGGTGCGTGCTGTTTCACCAGGCAATCGATTCATACGGCTGAACATATGTGCTCTCCACGCGTCAATCGCACGTCGTCGCTTTCGAGTCGTAAGGGTGGGGGGTGGGGAGGGCACAAAGTTTTCAATTAACCGCGAAATAATGCCTCGCGTTATTCGGGCCTGATCACAGAGTTCGTTATCTTCCGAGTCCAGCGCGACGTCGTGTTGCGAGGGACAGAAATGATTATTTAGACGAATTCCGTATGTTGTATAGCATGTTCCCCACTGTAGTCCAGTATTTAGAGTACGCGCCGGAGCTATGTGGCGCAGCGTCAGATCAGAGAATAAAATCGGAGCTAGGGGTTTGGGCTTGAAATGGGGTAAGTAGAAGACGAAAGATAAGATTGATGAGATACTTACGCGGCTTGGGCGAACGGAGCACGATGCGTGGCGGGCAGCAATGCGACCGTGGCCGCTAGAAGGGCGAAGCTCCAGGAGACGGCGTGGAAGGACATCGTATTATCCTTTGGAACGAGACTGGCCGCCCGCGTTCGAAGGGGTAATCACTGCGCGGCGTTCCCGTTCACGTTGACGATCAGGACAACGACAAGGATGTCGACGGGACGTCAGCGGGTGTCCTGAGGCGTTGTTACCTGGCGCGTTGACCCGGCGTCTCTCTGCGTGCCGTCCGCGTCTCACCCTCCCCCTTCTTCCTCCACCACCTCCTCCTCCTCCCTTCCACCCGCCCCACCCTCCTACCTCCGTCTTGCTCTCACTGTCTGCTTTTCGCCCTCCGGTTTCTCGTACTTTTTCCTCCCTTCACGTATCAGCCTGTACGGCCGTTAGGTACTTCTTTAATGCCACCCCGGTCTCTCCTTCACTGTCACACGCGCGCTCGACCCTCGAAAAAACACTGTAACAGCCGCTCTAAATAAATCACCTCGCACGATCTCGCTCTCGCTCTCTCTCTTTCTCTCTCTCCCTCTCTCACTCTTTCTCTCACACTCTCGCTCTCTCTCTCTCTCTCTCTCTCTCTCTCTCTCTCTACCCTCTCTCGTTCTCGCGATCAAACTACCTAAAGACTGATCGCGTCGTCCTCGAGCCGTACCCAGAGAACCCTCTCTTGCCTTTGTCTCACTCGCGACAAGATCACTACGGACACCCTCCTCACTCTCCCGACGAGCCTCCTTCCGTTCTAGACACCGAACAGCGATTACCCCCGTTTCCGTGTCACCGTTAGTCCCACCGACACAATCTTCAGCTGGCTACGACGATACCACACGCCCGTCTGAATCTTTCAGCATATTCGCGAAGATAGTTTCACCAGCGGACACTCGCGATGATCCGTTGCGAGGCTTCCTCGAGGCACACTGCGCGGGTTCCCGTACGCCCACAGCTTCACCGAGAGTTTCATCCACACTCGGGCAGCTACGAGCCTTCCGTTAATTGCCGTTTCCTAAGCCCCCGTTTTCTTCTCGTTCACCTGGGAAATGAAGGATCAGTACCGGTTCTCGATGGGGCAGGGACGACAGGGATTCAGCGGCGGAGGAGGGCGAAAACGGCTGGATCCTCTTCAAGGAGGTTCCCCTCTTCGTTCCGCCCGTTCTACAAGGTGGGAGCCGGCTGATCGACGAGGATGTCCTGCCGCAGGCTCCGCTTGCACGGGATCCTTCCTTCAACGATGGACATTCTTCTCTCTTCACCACCTACGCTCTTGCTGACTCGCTCTCACACTCTCTCTCACTCTCTTCTCACGGGGACACTCGGTCAGCACCCGCGCTACACCGCTTCGCGCTCGGGAGTGGCGGCTCTCGCATCTAGCCCGGCCGTATCACCGCGCAAGCGCCCTTTCCTTCCTCTCTTCCTGCCTGCCTGCCCTGCCTATCTGCCTACTCGCTCGCCTGCTGCCCGCTTGTCTTCCCCTATCACTCACC